CTTGAGGCCGGCGACATGAGCGTGCATATTGATCTTGTAGTCCGCTTCTACCATCTTGTGTCTGTGCGCAATAGCTACTCCAAACCTCTGGAAACCACAAAACCAAAGGTAGTGAATGGAAGAAAACAAGCGCACACGGATGCAACTTCTGTGAACACTGATATGGAAAAACCCCACGCAGCAACTTCCCTTATAAAGCCTGGAATGGACCCAAAGATCTTGATGCCATGCAAACAAAAAAAACACAGCCTCCAAACTTGTCGGGGTGACCCACTCTAGTACTTTCTACCGTCTTATCCCCTGTGCAAGAGAGTCTAGCTCGAATTTACTCCCTCTTTGATGCTAGAGTTAAAACTTAGCAATGATCACCACACCACATAGCTATAAACTCGTGAAAGCATCTCTCACTCAGACAAACCAACGCGCACTGCAGCCGACGACGACTAAACAATGTCACAAGTCAAAAAGAAAACACAAGAAAGAAAAAAAGATGAAGCTTGACAGGCAGCCAGATGAAAAAACCGAGATGGCAGGAAGAGAAAACGAAAGAAAAAAAAAAAAGAAGAAAAAGATGAAACGAGCAAAAACTAAAAAATGGAGAGACCTGGTTGGTGTCCTGTAGCTCACTGCGCGATTGACTACTGCATACCTGAATACGCAACAGGAGCAGCTTCTTTTGAACTCATCTCTCAGCCACCATTAAATGAGCGTGACAGTGTCGTTGCCGGCTCTGGATCGAGCCAACAGACGTGGGAAATTCTGCCAAATTGCCGGAAGCAAAGTACAAAGACGAAGAAAACACTGCGCACAAAGAAGAAAAAACAAAGGGAAAGGCAAATGCCGAAGACAATCACAACACAAAATGCCAAGCCCATTACTAACAAAAACCCATGCAACGCATGCAAGGTGTAGAAAAGGAAAGCCCCCCTTTCTCTCTCTCTCTTTCTCTCTCACATTTTGAGACTTGGCCACTGCCGAGCAAGGCGACGCCATTAGTGGTCCTCTCTGCCTCCGCTCCACCCCTAAATGCATTGAAAGTGAAGCGTTCCTTACCACAAATTTCTCGCCGCTGCTGCGCCCGGTTGCATGAATCTATGGAGTCGCGATCGCTATCAGCTGCTGGTAGGATCGTGAGACTGCCGCTCCACCTCCGCTGGTCATGGCAGCAGGGCGCAAGCCGCCCCACTTGTGCCATAAACCCTAACCCTTGATCACCGCTTTCCCGCCCAAAGGAGTTTTGAAAACTGCCGCGCAAAATTTTAAATCTGGCTTTGCGGTTTAGAATTTTGATGCGATGGGTGGTTTTATTTACGAGCTATCAAGCTGTACCACTTCCTGGACAGGGCGATCGATCCATTCATGTTCTCGTCTTAGAGAATTTATCTTGAAATCTCTGCAACCAGGAAAAAAAAAACGAGGAATGGAATGAGATTTGCTCGCTGGCCTGGGTGGGATCGAATTCAATCGCGCTCCCCATGCCACGCCAATCCAACGAGGCAACACCCCACATCCAACTCATAAACCCTAAAATAACGAGCTCTCAATCATTCCAATCGTCAAAGAAAAAGGAGGAGAGGCGCCACCACCCGTGGCCATGGATGGAGTGGAGGATCCACACCTCGTACATAATGGTCATAAATGTGGCCCATAACACGTCAACTCCATGGGACCATATCAGTGCGCACACAGGCATGGGCGCATGGGTCCGATTGGTCCGCCGCGATTGGTCGGGCCGTACCATCCCAGGCGTGACCACAATCTCGGCCTATGGGTGGTCGACAGGTGGAGCCCAGGGCGCATCCTCACCCGACAGCGCATGGCCCACGGCAGCACGACCAGATCTTCCAGATTCTAAACACGATCTGGTGTGCCTGCCACGTCTGCCCCCGCCCATGTCATACGGCTGCCCGCCCCGTGACGTGTCCATGTCATAGCCCGTCCGGCGCTGACGTGGAGCACATCATAGCGCCAGCCACCAAACGTCTGGGAGAATCTAAGGTAGATGGGAGATTTTTTTGTGGATGGATGGACAGCTGCGTGATTGATTGATGCGCTGCGTTGTTCTTGAGTCTCTTCACCAAACGCTTCCTAGGGGATAATTCCTTTTCTTTCTTTCTTTCCTCCAGCACTGGGAATGCTTGTGATTGACGCGACGCGACTAGTTCGATCGAGGGACCTGTGAGCTGCCCTTGAGATTTATCCAAAGTTTTGAGAGAACGATAGGAAAAAAAAGAAGAGGGAACGAAGAAGCCGGGGTTTGTAACGATAGAAAATGTAAGAAGTTTCTTACTTTTGCAGTACATTTTCGCTATGGCGGATTCGTTGGTCACAGCCATCGAGAGTACCCGGAGCCTTTGCAATCCTTGCACAGTACCAGGCCTGCGAGACAAGGAACAAACCGACGAGAATTTTCTTTTTGCGTTTGCCAAAGTTTGCAAGTTGCGAGAAAGGAAAGGAGTGTACCTGAGCCTTTACACACTCGGCACTCACTGTTGCGCCCATCGGATCGCATCTTTCCATCACTACAAAACACGCACCGAGTTCCCCCTGTGAAGTGAAACGAAGTACAAGAAAAAGAAGGCGGCCGCAAGGAATCAGAAAAACCAACCAAGGGAGAAACTCAAGAACAATACCATTTCCTCCACATTTTTTGCACGAAACTGGGTCCCCCTAAGTAGAACAAAACGCACTTGGTTAGTTTTCTGTGTAGCACACTATGCTTGATCATCAATCGCACACAAATTCATCTAGTGCTCACTGCTGTAATGGGGCGGACAAAAGAATCCAGTCGATACATTAACAATACTTTTTTCGCAGCGAATCATTTAGAAACAATCATAGGAGCTCAGCAATCTGGAGCATTCAATGTCTAACGCACAAGGTTTGAAAGAGAAACTAGAAAATCATTCTTTTTCACGTAGAAAACACTAGAAACTGGAGCCAAAATGGTGAACGAGAAATGCTTCCTTCGTTTCCATGTAGAAAACACTAGAAGCTCGAGCTAAAATGGCGGAACTGTTCTAACGAGAAATGCTAGAAATCATTCTTTTCCACGTAGAAACTCGGGCTAAAATGGCGAACTGTTCTAACGAGAAATCATTCTTTTTCACGTAGAAAACACTAGAAACTCGAGCAAATACGGGACTGTTCTAACGAGAAATATGCCATAGAAATTTACGTGGGAAACCACTAGAAACCACTCAAAGCTACGAGTATGGACCAAAACAAATGGATGGAAAACACACCATACAAATCCAAAAAGGATAAAATCACAGACTCACCTTGAATCCCCAGTAGAGCGAGGCGCCAGTAGCAGCGACAACGCTGGCGCCAAGGATGAGCGCTTGCAAATCCGGCGCCGCGAAATCGGAGCTAGCTTCCAATGCCCTGGCACGTTGTGAAGAATGCTGCCGCCTATTCCAGCGCTGGGCGGGAGAAGAGCGAAGAAGATTGGACTGCCCAAACCCTAGCACTACTTCCCTGCACAAGGTTTCCATTCTTTCCAAAATCAAAACCAAAGAATGTGTATCGAAAAACTTTAAATGGCAGTCGATTGCGACTGGAAAAATTTCCCGTTTCTTCATGCACTGAGAACTGAGTGGACTTCTTCCGTCACTTGGCTAGGTGGTTTCTCGGCGTGGAGATTGGACACTACTTTTCGTTTTTCGTAATAATCAATCACCTGGATCAACACCTCTGGTGAGAAATCGGTCGGGACAATGAAAAGGACTTACGGGTTCGGTCTGGCGATGAAACGCTTCCAGCCTACTTTTGAGCACCGCGGCATTGTCGTCCTTCCTCTGTATAAGCGGTTCTCCAGTCACCTTTGCAAAGAAGAGGTGTTATTAAATATTCAGCCAGCAAGAGTTCCAGAGAAGAGGAGAAAAGAGTTCTTACATCATCGACGCCAGAAACTTTGGGTGGAGCGAACTTTGCGTGATACGACCTCCCGCTCGCCGGATGGATCCATCGGCCAGTTATCCGCTCTTCTAGAATCGCGTCGGCGATGCCAAAGTTGAGCACCTTGTCGATTTTGTTGCCCTGGCTCTCGAGCATAGCATCTAGCTGCAAGAACAATCCAAAACAGAGAACGCGTGAGCATTGAATGGGAGTGTGAATAAGACATGGCAGCACTGACTTAACGGATAGCAACGCAAAGCAAAGTGGGTACAACCGATCCTGACCTTTTCAGCTTGTACCACAGTCCTCGGAAAGCCGTCCAAAACAAATCCCTTGCCACAAGCTGGTTTCTTAATCGCTTCATCAATGATCCCTACAACCAAATCGTCCGAGACGAGCTCTCCCTGGAAAAATTGTCCAATTATCAATGCTATTAGCAAAACCGAGAGTTTTGGAAGTTCAAACATAAAACACCATGAAAGATCTTTCAAACAAAGAAAGAAGAGACCATCAAAACGACCAAAGAAAAAAAAAACAAAGAACGACACCTTTAAAGAAAAAAGAGAGGGACACTAAGAAAATATCTCTAAAGCAAAAGAGATTGCCAGAAAAGAATGCTTACCTTGTCCATGGCTTCCTTGGCCTGGATTCCAAGAGGGGTCTTGGCAGCCACGGCTGCCCGGAGCATATCACCAGTGGCCAAATGGCACAGGCAGTAATTCTCCTCGATAATCGGCGATTGCGTGCCCTTGCCAGAACCCGGAGGCCCTGGATTGGATCGATTCTTGCTGATTCCCACCCGTATTTCACAAAAGGACGCGAAATCACTGGCTTACCGATGAGGACGAGTCGCTTCTCCGGTTTGGCAGCGCATCGCATTCGCCGCATGAGCTCCCCCATGAGATCTTCCACTGGAACATTGGCGAGCTCCCCCATGCCGATCCCACTTAGGGTTCTACCCAAAACGTTAAAACCCTAAACCTGTCCGAGAATAAAAACGGTTCAAGAGCCCGATCTCTGACACGTGTTGACATCCCAGCCGTCGCCGGATTCTGGAATGTGGCCAGACTGTTAGCCATAGCTCCTCGCTAAAGAAGAGCTCTTCCTTGTTTCATTCGTGTGCTTAAAAACCATTACTTAGGTTCTGAGATGCCGCCATGGCGATGGCGATGACGAGCTTAGAATCGCCGGCACGGGAAGATCAGGCTCTCGATCGGCGTATTTCTGGCAGATCTTCGGCAAGGAGAGGTATTTCCCAGGTGTAATCTGGATCCATAGCTTAGATGCCGCTGCCATAGGTCGAAATATCGCCAGCATTAAGAAATCCATGCCCTGGCGAGCGAGGCAGAGCCAGCATTCTTGGCAAGGCACAAGATTTCGATAGATTTTGGAACAGGGCAGCAATGGCATCGCGCTCCAGCGATGGAGCTCTCATCGCGGCTCTTCTTCTAGCGTTCCTGGCAATGGCGATCTCACAGTCAGTTCCCGCTCCAGTTAAGGCTCCCAAGGCAAATCCACCAAAAGGAAGTACTGCTCCAGTGGCTCCAGCTCCAAAAGCCGCTGCTACAGCTCCGACAAAGGCCCCAGCTCCGACTGCTACGAACGCCAGCGCTCCTCCGCCACTCATGGCCACTTCACCAAAAGGAGCACCGGTTCCATCCGCTGGTCCAGCTCCAGTCTCTTCTCCCGCGATGGCTCCAAAACCATCGACCGGCCTCAGCAATGGCACGCTGGATCCATCGCAGGTCGCGGCTTTGCAAGCTCTCAAGGTGCCAGTGCCATCCAATCCATGCGCCGGCTCACACTCGACGATGATCTGCGACGAAGGATCCCCGGTCAGGCGCTTGATCTTTCTCCAGCTCCAGTACTGCCCAGTGGACGCGTTGCTCAGCGAAGAAGCTCTCAAGAACCTCACGGGCTTGCAAGCGCTCTCCTTCTTCGACTGCCCGATGAAGCCGTCGGCGTCCCTCCCTCCCGACATGGCGAATTCCCTCACGTCCTTTAGCTGCGTGTCGAGCCTGGGAAGAACTTCTGGATTCGAGGAGATGGCGGGGCTCTCGGGTGTCTGGCTCGGCAAGCTACACAAGGTGGAGGATCTCACCGTCATGGACGTGCTTGTAAACGCTTCCAGCTTGTCCGTGATCGTCGCCAACATGACGCGGCTCCGCGAGCTCAAGATATCCAATTCCAGCTTGAAGGGCGAGCTCCCAAAGACATGGCCAGCGAAGAACCTCACGTCCATCGACCTCTCCCTCAACGCCATCCAGGGTCCGCTCCCGTCGCTCCTGGGCGAGCTCGAGCAGCTCCAGAGCTTGGAGCTCACAGGCAACAACTTAACCGGGCACTTGCCGGATTCACTCGGGAAGCTCCGGAGCTTGCAGAGACTGTCGCTCAGCTCCAATGCACTAACCGGTGCCATCCCCGGCGCCGCCATCGAGAACATGACGACGCTCACGTACCTGGATCTCAGCAACAACGCTCTCAACGGCAGCGTCCCGGCTTCCATCACCAAGCTGCGAGACCTCCGCTACCTCGACCTCCGCAACAACAAGCTGCGAGGTATCCTCCCTTTCAATTCCTCGTTTCTAAGCCGGCTCAACAGCTTCAAGGCCAGCGGGAATCCATCGCTGTGCTACAACAGCTCCATAGTCACGTCCACCCGGCTGGTGGTGGGCGTCCCGGCTTGCGACGATGCGGGCAAGCCGATCACGTCGGGTGGCGAGGGCCCGGCACTGTCGCCAGGCGAAGAACTGGCGCCCACGGCCGAGCCGGATGCGCAAAACTCGCAGAGCCGGCGGGGCAAGCGCCATGGTCCCAAGACGATCGTGTGGGCCGTCGCGACTGCGCTGGGGGCAATCTTCCTCTTCATCGCGCTCATCGTCGTCTTCTCCAAATGGTGCCGCTGGAAAGATGCTTAAATGGCCGAGATTTTTCATCCGGGCCGTTGGTACGTGGATAGCCAACGGCCGAGATTGATGCATGATAGTAGGGTTTTGGGAAAAGGTTGGCAATTTGTAATATGACCTAGCACCAATAAAGTATGCCGTTTTATTCCTTATTGGATGACTTGGCGTCAACGCTGTGCTAACGTGGCATTGACTTAACACGTAGAATAATTGACTGCACTGTCTGTCAGTCAACATTTGATTAATCTGAGCCGTTCTAGCAGCTCACTGCCAAAATGCTGCTCGAGTAAAGAACCGAAGTGGGAGAGGAAGAGAGAGAGTGAGAGGGAGAGAGAGCTCTGGCCTGGCCCTGGAGCTCTTCTTTAGGTCATAGCCTCTCTTCCTCTCGATCGAGCTCGAGCTCGAGCATGGATGTAACAGCAATGCAGGTAAGCTCCATCCTCCTCGCCCTCCTCTCGATCGCGGCCTCCACTCGAGCCGCCTCGCCGTCTCACCACCACAATGCCGCCGCTGCCCCAGCGCCAGAGGTAAGCTCTAGCATTCCCCCGCTTGCGTCCCCGCGCAAATCTCCAATCCCAATCCTCGGATCCCCAGCTCCAGCGCTTCCAGCCACTCCATCGCCCGTTTCTCCGGTCCCCACCTCCTCGCCAGCGGCAGCGCGAAAGCCCACATCGCCATCTCCAGCCCCGGAAGAAGAACCTCTGCCACCATCGCCACTGCTAGCTCCCTCCAGTCCTCCACCTTCAAACGCCACAGCTCTGGATCCCGACCAGCTCAAAGCTCTCAGATCTCTCAAGGTTCCCATTCGCGACCCGGATAACATCTGCGCTCCATATCCAGACACCCCGTTCCAGTGCGACCAGGGGTACCCGACCCGCCACCTCGTCTCCCTCGCGCTTAGCTACTGCCCGGAGGAGTCCGTGCTCTCCAAGGAAGCGCTCGACGCCCTCGCCACCACCTTGAAGTCCCTCTCCTTCCTCCACTGCCCAATGCCGGCGATTGCCTTCCCCGCCCAGATGACGAGCTCGCTCGAGTCGCTCAGCATCGTCTCCAGCCTCGGCCGCGAGACAACCTCGGACGATCTTACCACCACCAATTCAGCAATCACCGGCGTGTGGCTCGCCAGGTTCCACAGGCTCTCGCGGCTGGAGGTCCGGGACATCGTCGTCAATGCATCGGGCCTGGCGATCATCCTCTCTAACATGACGGGCTTGCGCGAGCTGTCGATCTCCAACACCACCCTCGGCGGTCACCTCGTGCGCTCCTGGCCGGCCAACCTCACCTTGCTCGATCTCTCCAACAATCGCATCCAGGGAGGCCTTCCCAGCCTCTTCGGCCAGCTCCTGCGCTTGGAGACCATGGATCTGGGTGGCAACAACATCTCCGGCCACCTCCCGGAGTCTCTCGGCCACCTCCGCAGCGTCCGGAAGCTTGTTCTTAGCAGCAACGCGCTCTGGGGGCCGATCCCAAAGTCGTTCGCCAACCTGACGTCCCTGGCGTACCTCGACATGAGCGGCAACAAGATCAACGGGAGCATCCCCGAGGCTCTAGCCGATCTCCCCAGCATCCGCTACGTGGATCTGCGCAACAACGATCTGGATGGGATGCTGCCGCTAAACAGCTCCTCGATCCAGCGCATGAACAGCTTCCGGGTGGCCGGGAATCCATCCCTTTGCTACAACTCCTCCGCCACCTCGTCCAAGCTCGTTCTTGGGCTTGCGAAATGCGACGAGGATGGGAATCCTATTGTGCCATCTTCGTCGCCCTCGTCTTCCTCGGGCTCTTCATCTTCCACTTCGCCGTGGGGCGATTCTTCTTCCGGAGAGCACCATAGCTCCTCCTCGAGCGTGCACAAGAGCAGTGGCGTGAAGAAGACGGTGTGGGCGATTGCAACTGCTCTGGGAGCGATTTTCTTGTTTATCGTTATTGTTGTAGCATTGTCGAGATGGTGCAAGAACAAGGGCTGATCTGCGAGTATGCCATATAAGAATGGTTATTGATACAAACAAAATTGATTTTCACATGTGTAATACCCTAGACCTGCCATTCGATTGCTAATTGTCATGAACTTGTAATAGTGTCCAAGAGTTTCTCTTTTTTCATTATGGCATCTTCACTCTTCTTGTCCGTTGCATCAGATCAGACTACTACAATGGAACTCTCTTCAATAATATCCAATTTGAGACCGGGTAGCTCTCGGGAATCCATCGTGACAATATGCATTAGAAGACAGACAGCCGCACCCCTTCTTGTGGGTATATATAGTGTTAGCATGCATTGTGCTCTAAATAGCAGTATATTATAAATATTGCCACCTTTATTGATAAGTGCAATAGTAATACATGTTTATGGAAGGTCTTGGTATTTCAAATTACCTACTGATTTTTCTCACTCCCTAGCACTCTTGAAGCTCTCAAATCCTTGGCAGGAGTTGCTCTTGGATCTCTTTCATCCTCAAGAGATACCTTGCAAGGTTGGCCATGATGTCAGTGTTGGGTGAGATCTCTATCCTGCCAAGGAATTGTAGTCAGAAGGTGGTTGTAAATATGCAATCATAGAGACCATGGAATATATATAGCATTAACATATTAATGTTCCAAAGGTGATAGATTTGGTTTTAATTCTAGTAATAAATTATAATCTATGAAATTATTTAAAATTATAAATTTTTAATGTATTATATTAATATCAATTTTTATTTAATATTAATAAACCTAGGTCCCATTACAATGTAACTCTTGATCATTTGGAAAGGATGTAGGAACATTAAATAAAACTAAACTCTACTTCCAGATCAAAAAAATGTGAGTATCTCTAAACTTTGTCAAATGTAAAACAGTTATAACCAAATAAAGTCTTATTCCAAAATAAATCTCTGAAGTTCTGACAAAATTCCATCTATGTGGATTGGATCCAAAGATTTGATCTTCATGATGATATATATATATATATATATAGTGGATGAGAAGCTTGATTTTTATCCTTTGCAACACTAGTACACTTATATAATGGCCAAGGAAAAGAATTGCTAAGTCCTAGTCTAGTAATTTGCATCTTGTAAAGCAATAACAATTGTGTCCATCCTTTATACCCACCTTAGAAATTCTTAAGACTTAAACCACTTGATTCATATGTTTAGTTTACTTATTTGTTTGAGAATAATCTCCACTTAAAAGCTTTAAAGTCATTTGCATAACTTTTGTAAAGCTCTTTTAAAATCCACTTAAGAGTTTCAAAGTCTTGCATAACCTTTGCAAAGCTCTTTTAAAATCCATTAGTGAACTTTGAGTCTTAATTGTTAATAACATTCTTTAGTAAATTAAAATTAGAAAAAACCTTCTCTAAGTAAATTACAGCCAAGTTTAAGATAGTGATAGTCTTTTAAGAGGCCAATGACCACATATACTTTAGCAATAAATTCATTATGATATATATTTATTCTTTTTGCCACTTTTTTTGTTGTAAACAAGTAATGAAGTTTATAAACTATATTAATAACTTTGAGGAATAAGTAAAGGTTGCAAAAGTTCCTTTAGCACCTTTATCTACTAATAAAGCTTATATAACTTATAATACTTAAGGATATTAACTTTTATATTCTTTCAATAAAACATTACACTTAATCAACTTATACATTTTCTTCCCACCAAAATGACTAGCCTTCAAACAATCATGATAGTGGACTAGAATCTAATTAATTAATATATTCACTCATGATAAATATACTTGATCATTAAATAAAGAATCCTATCTACAATGAGAAAGGTTCTTTTATCTAGGCTTATAAAGAGACCATTTCAACATTTTAAGCCTGACTAATTGCCTAAACTCACTATCTTACTCAAATAATAATAAAATAATGTCCATAAATGTTGTAAATGTGATTGTGGGTATTGAAAGTTGTTTGTCGGTGAGTTTTTTTAGATATTCTTTCTTTACTACCACAATGGCAAAAAATTAATATTTTTTATTAAATAAATAAATAACAATATAGATTCCATTATCTTTGCAAAATATATATTGTCCATTATCAACAATAAATAAATATTATTTGAAATTGATAAGATAATACACCTTCTAACTAGCTGACATAAAATATTGGATGAATTTTCACCCTAACTGGCAACCGTATCGATAAAACCAATGCACTCCAGCACTTCATATGGACTAGCATATTGATGGGAAAGTTTGTCACTCTTCCCTATTTGTAAAGGCACCAAGGTGTTCTGCCGTTCACTTGACGAAAAGGTCACTCACACAAAGATGAGATCACCCACTTTATATTCCCGGAATTGGTAATACTTATTAGCAAACTTCTCTGTTCTATCCTGAGTTGCCTACAAATTCCATTTGCACACCACCAGAATTTCATCAAGTTCTGTGGTTAAATAAATTGCCTTAGAATCAAGCTTATTTTGAACGTCCTTACTCAATGCAATCTTAACTCCACTGCTGTTTGGGGATGCCTTCCAAATATGGCAAAGTAAGGATTTGGCTTGGTTCCACTGCGTTGGCCATTGTTGTAAGCAAATTGCACCAACGGAAAATATAGATTCCATTGTCCTTGCCTTTGATGTTACAATGTAATATATCCTTCACCATCTAATTCACACGCTCGGTTTTCCCATCTATTTTAGGATGATCTCCACTCGAGAGTTTCAAAGTCATTTGTATAGCTTTTGTAAAGCTCTTCCAAAATCCACTTGTGAACTTTGAATCGTGATCATTAATGATGTTCTTTGGCAAATCAAAATTAAGAAAAACTTTCTCCAAGTAGATTGCTGTTAAATTTGAAGTAGTGACAGTCTTCTAAAGAGCCAACAATCGCACATATTTCGTCAATCAATCCACTATAACCCATACTTACTTCTTTTGCATCTGTGTTTGTGGCAAACAAATGATGAAGTCCATAAAGATACTACACCAATAGCTCTAAGGAATAGGTAAAGGTTGCAAAAGTCCCTCTAGCGTTTTCCATGACATCTTAACTTGCTGATAGAGCTCGCATGATTTACAATACTCAAGGATATCAACCTTCATATTCCTCCAATAAAAATTGCACTTAATCAATTCATATGTTTTTTTCCCCCCAAAATGACTGGCCTCTGGACGATCATGATAATGGAATAAAACTTGAGTAATTAATGCATCCACTCATGGCAAATATACATGGCCATTATAGTAAAGAATCCCATCCACCAATGAGAAAGGGGCTTCCATCTAGTCTTGCAAAGAAGCCACCTCAGCATCTTGAGCCTGAACATGCTCAATCAACTGCCCAAACTCGCTAACCACCTTACTCAAATGATAACAAAATCATGTTTGTAATGCCGTCACATGACAAACACGAGATAAAACATTCGCCACTATATTTGATTTTCCCAGACGATGCTCAATAGAAAATTCCCCAAACTCCATGAGTTTGACTATCCAACAAGCTTGCCTAGTGTTCAACTCCTTATGTGTGAAAAAATACAGAAGTGGTTTGTGATCCGTCAACACCATGAACACTGCACCATAAAGATAGTGCCACAACGTCTACAAAACATGAACAATAGAGAGTAACTCTTGCTTATATATAGAATAGTGTTGTTCTACGGGATTCAAAGTTTGACTTTCATATGCAATAGGCTGTCCCTCTTGCATGAGAACTCTTCCCAATGCATAACCACTCACATCGTATATCACCTTATAAAGTTTTGATAGATCAGCAATGCGAAGCACTGGAGCTTCACTTAACAATCGTTTCAGCGCCACAAAACTTTCCTCTTGTGGCTTCTTCCACTCGAATGGCATGTTTTTGCATAACAACCGTATCAAAGGAATAGCCAACTTCACAAATTTATGCTAGAAACGTCAATAATAATTAGCCACACCAAAAAAGCTATGTAACTCAGCCACTGAAGTTGGTGTAGGCCAATTCTCCACCACAACCATCTTCCTAGAATCTGTTTTGACACCCTTAGATGTCACAATATGGCCTAGATATTCCACCTTCGACTTTGCAAACTTATATCTGCTCTTCTTCATATAAAGTTTGTTGTCACAAACTTATAAAAGAACTTTGCACAAATGCACATGCTCCTTTATATTCTTGCTAAAAACAAGAATATTGTCCAAGAAAATCTCCACAAACTTATGAAGATAATGCTTAAATACCTATATTATTAACCGAGTAAATGTGGCTAGTGCATTCGTCAAACCAAACAACATAATTGTAAACTCAAAAGGCCTGAAGCTTGTGTTGAATGCCGTTTTGGAGATAGATGCATCATCTATTGCAATTTAATGATATCCACTTCTTAGATCAATTTTGGTAAATACTTGTGTTTCACTAAGCTTGTCTAAAATATCATCCATACACAACATTAACATCTTATCCATCACTGTCTTTTTGTTCAAGGCACGGTAGTCAATACACATCTGCATTGAACCATTGAAGAGGTGTGAAAACTCCTCTTCGCTGGAAATCTATTGTTAGTAAGAAAACAAAAGAGAAAAGGGCTTGATTTCCAAGGGCTGAGAAGAGGCATGAGTAAAAGAATGATGTGTATTGATAAAAAAAATGATGGAATGGAGATAGAGATCCACAATTTGGATTCCTCCTTTTGAAAGGCTAGTGGTTCTAACTGCTAGCATATACTATATGCTGTGCATGATTTAATCTATGGCTCCGATGCAGCCTTGGGTTCAAAGTCGGAGTCCCCTGAGCTTGGGTTTTTGGTTGATACACTTTGCTCCCCTGACAGAACTAGACACCGTCCTCGGTGCGAACATAGTTAGTCTCCACCGCTTGCTGCTGCTGCTGCTCCAGTTGATAGAGGCGACATTTTTGCTGTGGGAGTGTAAGCTCGTGGTTGGGGACACTGTCTGGTGGATCTGTCCCATCTTCCTGGAGGTCGGCCACCTCAACCAGGAGGGCAGTATGATCATCCTCGAGTTTCCAGTAGCGGGTGTTGAGCTCTTTGTATTTGAATTTGTAGGTGCATTCGTGAGCTGTTGATGGGGTTGATGGCTGCTT